CAGAATGTATGCCTAATAGGGTGTTCCAGAAAGTATGCACATGGTTTGATGTTGATATAAACACGCTTTTTATTCAAGGAATTTCATTTATATTTTATTATTTTTTCATATATCAAGTGAGGTGGAGCAAAAATTTGTTTTGAGTTTTTCAAAGTCCGTGCAAAATGAAACTCTATGGACTGGTTTGGAAGGTCTTTTAGAGCCAGACTTTCCACCAAATAATCACAAACATTGATGATGTTTTCGTAGAGCTACAGGCAAAAGTTTGTTTCAAGTTGATAAATTACGGATCGTGATGATCGGTGATTGGCACTAGTTTGCGGAACAGAGACCGACGTCAAATAAAGGAATGAAGAATGAAGCACATCCATGCAGTCCAACTGCTCTCACCCAGGAGTTAAATCTCTCTCTACTTTGTCTCTTTCTCCTATCAAATGTAAGAGACAAACTCCCGTATTTGAGAGGAGCACAGCTGAACATTGCATTAGGTCCTAAGTAACATTGATCGGTTCTCTTTGTCGACTTTCTCTTTCGTTAATAACGTGAGCACATTACCGTCCCAAGTAACAACCTAAATTCATGGAAGATTTATTCTTATTTTATCATTGTTTTATCATAGCATCCCTTGAAGCCTGTGGTTGTAATACGGTTTTGTGTGCTTGACATAAAATCAGGCCGTTAAGTCGTCAATAAAACTGTTTTATGACTACTAAATTAAAACTCAGACTTCATAGTTTTAACGGTAGCTGTAAGGTGGTTCTGTATCACAACTTATAACTGCAGAATAAAACCAAAACAAACATACAATTATATTTTATGGCATACTTTTCATGACCGATATAAAACATGAAGCAGTCTTAAACCTTCATTAAAGCCTCATTACAACTATCATCTTTATCAGAGGCCTAAGATTCACAGATAAAAAAAATACTACAACAATAGCAAAAAATGCTCTGAAAATTGTTGCCAATATAAAAAAAAAAAACAAATCTATTCAGATACATGAAATGGAAACCCCTTCAGTGTTTCTGAACACGATAAAGATGAGACGATCGCCAATATGTAACTCCTGGAGGATCTACAGTTATGGGCTCCCGCATATAACATAAGGCTCAGAGCGGTGAAGAAGCTCTTAAAAATATTGATGTAGTAGTGGAGAACAGCGGAAGACTTCTCACCTCAATTTACCAACGCTCGTTGCTCATCTTCCTCGCCCACGATGGCGTTCTAGTAGTGCATGCAGGGACTAATTGTTTGGAACCGTCATAGATTTTGGTTTCTTCTCACAATCACTTAGTTTATTTTAAAACACTTGCACCGAACATTTATTCACACGACATTAACATTAACGGGCCTCCCTTAGCTCAGTCAATTTTTAATTTCTCGACTTCCCTGGGCATAGAAGTATGATTAGACTTGCCACACAATCATATCAATGCAAAAATGGTACAGGCATCGAAAGCTCTTAATTAATAACTGTGGAAGTGCATCAAGAACACTAAGTTGAGAGCACGCCATAAGCTAATATGCGATATGCAATAAGCTTGAAATGCGAAGAAGAAGAAGAAGAAGTAACATCAAAACTAACTTTTTATTCTTAAAACACTACATTGAACTTAATAAACTAGTTACAAAACAAGCAATATATTGTACCGGGTTAGTGACCGGTCTCGACGAGATGGTGAAGCAACACTGCTCGGTCAATCTCCCTCGTTGTAGATCGTCGCCTCATCTAGTAGGTAGCTATCGATCGGTGCTCATATCTTCCGCTCTCATGCAAATGCCCCTAGGAATGAGTTTCTCGAGAGTATCCTCACGCGAATGTATTGCTATCAACGGCTAAGCTGTGGTTGATTCTCCCACTCGGTAAAGGGCGAACACGAAATTATTACGACACCGAAAATGTCATGCCAATTTTCTTATAATGTTTAGAATCAAACCAAAATTTTAGGGTAGTTTTATACATATATTAACTTCAAAAATCAAAAGAAAAGTTAATCGATGGAGCCTTGAGTGTAAAATTGATCGCATTTTCAATTGATGCCCTCCATCAAAGTCTTTACAGTGTCATCCGGTACCAGTTTCTCAGTTTTTTTTTCCATTTTCTTAACATGTCCTTCTCGTCTTTGACTGTCTTCTTGCTCTTCCGAAGTTCCCGCTTCATTATTGCCCTGTACTGCTCCACCGGGCGCAGCTCCGGACAGTTTGGCGGATTCATGTCCTTTGGAACAAAATGGACAGAATTGGCCTCATACCACTCCAGGACAGTTTTAGAATAGTGGCATGATGCCAAATCTGGCCAAAATAGCGGAGCTTCGTCGTGCTGCTGCAAGAACGGCAAAAGGCGCTTCTCGAGGCACTCAGATTTGTAGATCTCGCCATTTACTGTGCCCTTTGTCACGAAAGGCTCACTCCTCAGTCCGCAAGAGCAGATGGCCTGCCAAATGAGATATTTGGAGGCGAACTTCGACATTTTCTTCTTCTTAAATTTGTCGTCCACATCGAACTTGCTCTTGCCGGTGAAAAACTCCAACCCTGGAATTTGCTTAAAATCGGCTTTTATATATGTTTTGTCGTCCATCACACAGCAGCCATATTTTGTCAGCATCTTCTCGTAGAGCTTCCGTGCCCGAGTTTTAGCCGTCGATTGTTGCCGCTCATCGCGGTTTGGGAAGTTCTGTACCTTGTATGTATGTAGTCCAGCTCTCTTCTTTGCATTCTGGACGTAGCTCTGCGACATGCCGATCTTTTTAGCCAAATCACGGCTTGAGACGTTGGGATTTGCTTTAATCATCCGCTTCACCTTTACCTCCGTCTTTTTGTTCACCGGTCCCGGTTTTCTTCCAGCTCCTTTGCCGTGGTTCAACGTCAACCGCTCCTGGAACCGCTTCAACACTCTGGAGACGGTTGAATGGTGAATGTTCAACATTTTTCCCAACTGCCGGTGCGACAGGTCAGGAAATTCCAGGTGTTTGGAAAGAATTTGTTCTCTCAACTCGCGTTGGTTCACCTCCATTTTCGTTGAATCGAAAAACACGACTTCGAGTTTGACAGCATGTACACAATACACATCAATGAGAAAGTGTGCAAAATTTGGTTGATTTTTACCCAATGGTAAAAAAGTTATACCCTGTTGAATGTGTCGCAATAATTTCGTGTTCGCCCTTTAGTAGGAATGTGTGTAGTCGGTACAATCAAACTGATAACGAACTGAACCAAGTGTTGCGTCGATCATGCAGTGGTATTCTGAAGCAATTTGCATCTCGCATGCAAACATCCTGCCTCCCTCAGAAATAACGATTTCTGTAGACTGCTGCTAATATTTCTGTCACGGCTGATGATGCTCCTGGTTGACCTGGCGATGTTGAATACCTCAATTGAATTGGTGCGATGGTATATGGAAAGAAAAGACCCGGTAGATCCGGAGGAAACAACTAAATAACTTGGACAGGTCCTCACCTGGGACCCAAGGATATTGGGCCTTGTATTTATTTGTCCTCTAAGGAAGATCAAGTCCCAACATTCGTGATCATGATAGCCGAACTACCGTTAGAGTTAGTGTCGTCATGGGATGAAGATGATACCGGTAAAAAGCATAGTTTTGCGACCGGTCGAGTGATGAATCCCCGTGCTGTCTGAAGTGTAACGACCCGGACAATGCCATCCTTGCCGGGGTGAAGTTCATGGATCCTGCCTGTTGCCCATCGCATTGATGGCAGATTCTCTTTCTTAATAATGACAAGACGATTTTTTTCTATTTGTACCGGTGGGTTGCACCACTTGGCTCTAGGCTGTAACGTTGCCAAGTATTCGAGGTGCCATCGATTCCAAATTTCCTGAAATATTTTCTGAATCTGCTGCCATTGTGTCAAACGATTGTATGGGACCGAATCGAGGTTGACGTCTGGGACTGCTTTCAGTGCTGAGCCCACAAGAAAATGGCCCGGAGTAAGTGGATCAAGATCGGAAGGGTCGTCGCTTAATGGAGTGAGTGGACGGGAGTTCAGACAGCATTCTATCTGCGCTAAAAGTGTCTCCATGTCGTCGTACGCCAGTACTCGAGGTCCAAGTACCCGAGTGAAATGCTTTTGAGCCGATTTAATTGCCGCCTCCCAGAGCCAGCCGAAATGAGACCCTTTGGGAGGATTAAAGTGCCAACGACGGCCGTTTTCTGTGCACTCTCGAGCTACCTGGTATTTGTGCTCTCTACTTCTCAAAAGTCGCTTCAATTCGTTTGCTGCGCCCACAAAATTCTTTCCATTATCCGTGTAGATGTCAGAGCACAGCTCACGGCGCGCCACAAATCGCCGAAAAGCTTGCAGAAACTTTGTAGTGGTCAAATTAGCGACGAGTTCAAGGTGTCGCAAAACATACGAGGTGAGGTGAGGCGTCGCAAAACATACGAACACGGCAATGTATGATTTGATTGGTGCATCGCGCCTGTGCCGTGGTTGAATGTAGATTGGTCCCCAGAAATCTATTCCAACTCTAGAGAAGGGTTGTGATGCAGTCACACGAGCAGCCGGGAGCTCAGACATGAACTGTTCGATGAGCTTAGGTCGAGCACGCACACAGGTGACGCATTTGTGTACGATCTGTCGAGCCACACTTCTTCCGCCCAAGAGCCAGTAACGGATTCGAATCGTGTTGACCATCAGCTGAGGAGCAGCGTGCAGCAATCTCTGATGGTGCGATAACAATAGCAACATCGACAAAGAGTGAGAGCCTGGTAGCAGGATTGGGTGCTTGAAGTCTTCGTGTTGTGTTGATTGCCCAAGACGACCACCGATCCGGATGATTTTGTCGTTGGCAGAGAGCATTGGATGGAACCATTTCAGGCGAGAGCTTTTCGACATCAGCTGTCCGTTTTCCAACCGTTTCCATTCGTTTGGAAAGCATTGTTGCTGCAGCGCATGTTCAGCAGTTTTGAGTTCATCGGTCGTGAGAAAAGTAAATCGACGATCTTCCTTTGGTGTTCGCAGGAACAAGAAGAAGCGACGCTAATAGGCAGTAGTTCGTACCATCTTCGTGTAGTTGGAGAATTTGGCTACATAACCGTCGATGAATGAGGATGTTGTGGTAGCAGTAGCAAAAACTGTCATAATCTTTCGTCGTTCCGTGTTGCTATGATCAGTAGATCCGCAGTGCTGTTCAGGAACAGGCCAATATTCCTTCTCCTTTTGCAACCATTTTGATCCTCTCCACCAGAGTTTGTTATGGATGAGATCCGATGCTAAGCAACCGCGAGATATGACGTCAGCTGGGTTTTGCAGACCTGCGATGTGGTTCCAAACACAGTGCTGAGTCGCATGCTGAATATTGGAAACCCTGTTGGCAACAAACGTAGTCCAAGCAGATGGAGTAGACTTGAGCCAATTGATGACTGTTGTGGAATCAGTCCAGAAATACGTGGTAAAGGTGATCTGAAGAGAAGCGGTGATTCGTTGGTACAACTCGGCGGAGAGTAGATCACCACACAGTTCGAGCCTAGGAGTGCTTTGCTTCTTCAGCGGGGCGATTCTGGACTTGGAAGTCAGAAGAGCAATTTTGATTTGTACACGGTTGTTGATTGACCTTAAATAGGCGCAGGTGCCGTATCCAATATCGGAAGCATCCGAGAACAGGTGAAGTTGTGTATCGACCGAGTTCGCGAGAAGAACGAAGCGATCTATTCTCAATTCGTTTAGCGAAGGAAGATTGGAGTGATAGTTGATCCATTGATTTCGTAGACTGGTTGGAAGTTCTCGATCCCATTCCCAAACCGCTCCGTTATCATCCCGGAGAGTCCAGAGTGTTTGCATGAACGCCTTGGCCATTACGACGACTGGACCGACAAGTCCCAACGGATCGAAGAGCTGGGCAATGTAGGACAGCGTTAGACGTTTCGTGAGTACGGCGTTTGGTGGTAGAAGTAGATCGATTTTGTACTTGAGACGATCGGATGCTGGTTCCCAGTGCAAACCGAGCGTTTTGATCGTTTGATCACGATCGAGATCAATGGAATGCTGAAGAGCACGGTTTTCATGCGGGATGCCCTCTAGAACGGTCTCACAGTTTGATGCCCATTTTCTTAGCTGGAAGCCTCCCCGGGAAAGCATGGCGTCGAGTTGCTCCCGAAGCTTGATTGCCTTTGCTACGGTTGCTGCTCCAGAAAACAAGTCATCGACATAAAAATCCTTCTCGACGACCTTTGCTGCTATTGGGAAATTATCGGCCTCGTCACTAGCTAGCTGCTTTAGGACACGTGTCGCCAAATAAGGAGCCGATGCAGTCCCATACGTGACGGTCTTGAGAACGAAAGTTTGTAGTGGTTGGTCCGGATATGATCGCCAGAAGATGCAAAGGTATGCATAATCGTCGATGAAGTGTAATACTTGGCGATACATTTTTTCGGCGTCTGCAATTAGGATGACTTCGTGGGTTCGGGAACGCATAACAATCGATCGCAAATCGTCCTGTACGACCGGACCGACAAGAAGAGCGTCGTTGAGTGAAATTCCCGAGCTGGTCTTGCTAGACGCATCGAAAACTACGCGTAGCTTCGTGGTCGTGCTGCTCTCTTTAATCACTGGATGATGTGGTAAATAGTACTTCGGATGGAGCTCTCCTCCGAAGTCACTGAGTGGTGCCAAGTGGCCAAGTTGCGCATACTCAGCCATGAAATCCCGATACTGCTGAGCGATCGAAGCATTACGAGACAGCCGATTCTCCAACAAGCGAAAACGATGCAGAGCCGATTTCTTGTTGTCACCCAACCGCTGAGTTACATTTTCCTTGAAAGGAAGTCTCACCATGTATCGACCCAACGAATCACGTGCAACAGTACGCTGAAAGAACTCTTCGCAGGCAGTTTCGTTCGGGGAGTAATTCGTAGCAGATGGGTCTTCCTCAATTTTTCAGAACTTCTCCATGTCGTTGTGTAGTTCGGCTATCGTTGCAACATTGCAGCGAACTGACGATTCTGGATAGCCCTGAGAAGTTTTTCCTGATACCACCCACCCAAATACCGAGTTGGTGAGCGACGGAAGAGAATCTCCAAGCGAAATGCGTCCTGGAACGGAGAGTAGATCGAAGTATATTTCTGCCCCCAACACGATATCGATAGTGCTCGTTTTGAAAAAGCCAGGATCGGCAAGATCAATATTGGCAGGAATGCTCCAATGATCGATGTCCAATGACCGATGGCAGATCAATAGTGACCTTGGGCAGAATAAGCAAATCGACGCAGGTAAAGTAATTCGAATTTCGGGATTTGATGACGGCTCGAAATTGGTGCTTCACATTAGCAGAGGACTTTCCGATTCCAGCTATCGGCACATCGACTCTCCTTCGTGTAACAGTCATCGCCTGAGATAACTGTGTAGTGGCGAAGCAACATTCGCTCCCAGAATCAAGTAGAGCTCGTGCGAAATGTTCTTTCCCTGCATCGTCGACGACAATCACCACGGCAGTGGCTATAAGAACCTTGGATCTCGAAGACAATTGTGAGTTACAGCTCTTCACTCTCAAATGTGCAGCATTCATAGTACCTTCCGGAGCTTGCGAAGACGAGAATGACGCTTGCGGATCTTGAGGAGTAGTAGCGGAAGTGTTCGAATTTCGATTATTGTTCGTTGTTGCTGCTGCAGCGTGTGATGACCTTCCAGCGTTCGATGTGTTGGTGCACAATTGAGTGTGATGACGGGATCTGCACTTTCTGCAACAATTCTCCGAAGGACAGTCACGTGCCATGTGACCTTTTCGAAAACAGTTGCGACACAGCTGATGTCGCATGATAAGTTTCTCCTTCTCCTCAACCGGCATGCGACTAAAGATGTTGCACTGGTAGATTGGATGTTCTTCCGGACAGAAGAAGCACTTTCGTCGATTCTCCTGGAAGGCTCCATGACTACCAACACGAGGGTTCGGTGGTTTTCGAAGTGGCTGAGATAGTTGAGGATCAGTTTGCTTGGAAGACACTTGCAGCAGAACGTTCACTCTTCGTTGGATGAAGTCCTTGAAGGCAACGTCGTCACGAGTAGCAGAAAATTCTTCCCAGTCACGTCGAGTCACAGGATCGAGACGGCTCGTGAGAAAATGTATCAACAGTATATCCCAATGTTCGGTGCCCTCTCAAAGCTGCTTCAGCACTCTAACGTTCGCTTCAAACTTCTCGACCAATGAATGCAGCTCAGCAGAGGACTCTCGACGTATGATCGGAAAATCGAACAATGCCTGAACATAATTGCGCTTTAGAACCTTCAGGTTTTGAAAATGCTCGATCAGTAAATTCCATGCAACGGGATAATTAATGCCACTAATCGGTATAGCTTCGATCAACTTAAGTGCCTCCCCAGCTAGTGACGACCGAAGGTAATAAAATTTTTGAATGCTGGAAAATTCCGACGAAGAGTGGACAAGCGATGCGAACAAGTCATGAAGCTCTCATAGTTGCCAGTAAACACCGGTACCTTAACGTCGGGCAGTGTGGGGGGCGGAAGTGGGCGTATTCACAGCAGGGATATGGCAGTGTTGCAGAAGAAAACCCTTAACTTTGTAGAAGTGTGTTTCAAATTCTGCTCTTTCTTTGAGGTATTGTTCTACAGCATCAGAGGACTCGTCACAAGTCTCTAAATCTAATTGTACCTTATTAAACTCCGTCCACAGCGACAAAACCGCTTCCAAGCGTACGGGTATCTCGGCTCTGTCTCTCTCCTCCTGGTAAGATTCGACGAAATTCTTGATGAGTGAGAAAGATGTCAGGATGCTGCGACGTCTCGTCTTCAGGAGTCGTAGTTTCCTTTTAGCGGCGGACATGTTGGTTGGGTGACGACTCCAAATCTATAATTGAGACCAGGTAGCTCGGACAAGAAGAAAATAAAAGAATGGAGCGGTAATTACCTTCTAGAATGCAATTATTTGCCTTGTATTTATTGAAACGCTCCTTCTCTCGAACTACTCTGCGTCGTTGAATGAAGCCAGGACCATCAAGGATGGTGACGTCACAGGGTTAGAACTTCCTCGAATCGTCCACGTGTCTGTGTCCGCGTAATTCAACAAAGCAGTAAACACGCAGAAATAGCTGCTAAATCTCACCAAAATGGTAGTGTTGCCGTTGCAGGTCTGGGATGCGGCAGCGAGGGCTCATGGAGTGTCGCTTAACGATAAGCTGTTGAAGGGTCCAGACATGATAACGTTGCTACCAGCTGTTATAAGTGGATTCCGCGAGAGAAACGTGGCGTTTGGAGGTGACATTAGGGAAATGTTTCATCAAGCATGGGTTCGTGCAGAAGACCGTCAGGCACAACGGTTCCTATTCGTGGGTCCGAACGGAGCGGTGGAAACGTACGTGATGGATGTGGTTATCTTTGGCTCGACCTGTTCGCCTTGCTCCGCACAGTACGTGAAAAACTTGAACGCGCGGGAACATGCCGAGCAGTATCCGGAGGCTGCCGAAGCTATCGTTCGAAAGCACTATGTCGACGACTATTTCGACAGTGCCGATACAGTAGAGGAAGCGGTGAGACTAGCGATGGATGTGCGACGTGTACACGCCAACGGTGGGTTCGAGATTCGGAACTGGGTTTCCAACTCACAGGAAGTGTTACGTCAGCTCGGAGAGGAGAAGTCTGTGGTGAAACCACTAGAAGTAGACAAGCATTGCGCTACGGAGAGAGTCCTGGGAGTGCTGTGGGACCCGGAAGGTGATCACTTCGTTTTCTCAACGGAGATTCGCCAAGACCTTCAGCCCTACATTCGGGAAGGTGCTTGGCCAACAAAGAGGATTGTGTTGCGGTGCATTGCCAGCATGTTCGATCCGAAGCAGTTCCTGGCTCCGCTGTTGATACACGGACGGATCATAATGCAGGATTTATGGCGTAGCGGCATAGGTTGAGTCGAGAAGCTCACGGAAGCTCACTACAAGCGGTGGGTGCAGTGGACACAGCTATTCCATCTAATCGATGAGATTCGTGTTCCACGGTGTTACCTCGGTGGATTGGACTCGAAGGTCTATGAAACGGTGCAGTTACACGTTTTCACTGACGCTGGAGATGCGGCATATGGATGCGTGGCCTACTTCAGGTTCGAGGACGGCGAAGTCGTTCACTGCGCATTCATCGAGGCCAAAGCGAAGGTGGCGCCATTACAGTACCTGTCTACACCACGGTTGGAGCTAGAAGCGGCTGTTCTCGGTGCGCGATTGACAAAGTCGATCTGCGATGCCCATTCCTTTCCGGTAGCGAAGCGGTTCCTGTGGTGTGACTCGGATACGGTAGTATCATGGGTGAAATCGGACCAACGAAGGTATAAGCCGTTCGTTGCCTATCGTATTGGCGAGATCCTCAACATTACGAATCCAGAAGATTGGCGTTGGGTAGGAACGAAGGACAATCCAGCGGACGATTTGACGAAGTGGGGCAAAGGAACGGAGATCAAGTCGGGAAGCCGATGGTTCCATGGACCGGATTTTCTGTATCACGGAGTGGAAGAATGGCCGAAGCAAAAGCGTCCAAAGGTTGAAGTTGCCGAAGAGCTCCGGGCGAGCGTGCTGCTGCATCACATCGTGTTACCCGAGGGGTTTACGGAGAGGTTGCAGCATATTTCGCGTTGGACAGTAATGGTGCGGACCCTAGCAACAGTGTTCCGATTCGCGTCCAACTGCCGGCGACGCGTCAAGAAGCTGCCGATCGAAGCCGTTAGGAAAGGTGTCAAGCAAGGATCAACGTTCCCCGCCGTGGATGTGCCGTTGCGACAGGAGGAGTACCAGGCTGCAGAAACAGTTTTGTGGAAGGTAATTCAGGCAGACGAGTTTGCCGACGAAGTGAGGACCCTGGTGAAGAACAAGGATTCGACAGTACATGAAATGTCACTAGAGAGGTCGAGTAAGCTGTATCGTCTTGCGCCGTTCCTGGATGAGGATGGTGTCGTGCGGATGGAAGGTCGTACAGAAGCGGCGGAATATGCGGCATTTGATGCGAGGTTTCCGATCATTCTGCCGAAGGACCACGTGGTGACTCGAAGGTTATTAGAACACTACCATCGGCAGTATGGGTACAGCAGCAGAGAAACCGTTGTAAACGAAGTTCGGCAGCGATTCTACATTCCGTGTCTCCGAGCGCTAGTAGATCAAGTGATGCGAGCCTGTGTGTGGTGCAAGATTCAAAAGGCGAAGCCAATTGTTCCGAGAATGGCACCCTTACCAGGGCAGCGTTTGGCGGCGAGGGTCGATCCGTTTTCGTACGTCGGCATAGACTATTTTGGTCCACTGGAAGTGTCTATTGGCCGAAGGAAGGAAAAGCGATGGGTGGCACTTTTCACGTGCCTAACTGTGCGAGCGGTACATTTGGAGGTGGCGTACAACTTGACGACTGAGTCGTGCAAAATGGCGATCAGGAGGTTTGTAAAGCGGCGTGGCAGTCCGATCGAGATCCTTTCGGATAACGGCACGAACTTTGTCGGTGCTAGTCGAGATCTGCTGAAGGAAATAAATCTAGCATGTGCGGATACCTTTACCGGTGCGAGGACTCGTTGGACCTTTAACCCACCGGCTGCCCCACACATGGGAGGTGCGTGGGAGAGAATGGTGCGCTCGGTGAAAGAGGCACTAAAAACGTTCACAGATGGTCGGAAGCTGACGGACGAGATCCTGCAGACGGCACTGATCGAGGCGGAGAACCTGATCAACTCTCGTCCACTCACCTACGTGTCCACCAACGTGAAGGAAGACAAGGAAGCGTTGACGCCGAACCACTTTTTGCGTGGTCGTTCATCGGTCGAGTGTCTGCCGTCGAGGAATCCCATTGACATGGCCAACACGTTGCGTAGTAGCTACCATCGCGCACAGTTCTTGGCGGATGGATTCTGGGATCGTTGGCAGAGGGAATACCTGCCGATGTTAAACAAGAGGTCTAAGTGGTTCGTGGATCAGCGACAAGTAGCGGTTGGAGATTTGGTGTTCGTGTCAGATGGAGAGAAGCGAAACGTCTGGGAGCGAGGCGTGGTGAAGAAGGTGTTCGTTGGGAGTGACGGAAGAGTCCGTTCAGCGTCCGTTCAGACAAGCAGAGGCGAGAAGGTCAGACCGGTAGCGAAGCACTCAGGTCACTCGAAGCACTCAGGTCAAGCAGGTCACTTCGAAGGAGTAATCCCCGTACTGTTCCTGATGGAACCAGCCACAGGGTTTACGGGCGGGGGAATGTTGCCGTTGCAGTCAGGCCTGAAAGGGTTGCGGTAGCATAACTACCGTGAACGCGCCCCTTTGATGCACCCGTTTTTGACGTTTCTTGCCGTCGCTGTAGCAGTGAGGCGCATAGATGAATGTATTCACACAGAGGTGCGATAGTGAGTGGGATAAACTGAACACGGCCATCGCTTTCGCACTACTTTGTTTGTTTACCCCAGCAGCTGGCCTGGAAAGAGGAGAGTATAGACTCCATCGCGATAGATGTGTTTTTGTTGTTGCTAATTATGTTTTGTGCCGATTATTGTACCTAGTAAGTTGTGTAATTTGTAGTTTGTTAGTTTATTTGTAGATTTTTAAATATTGTGAAATCATAGATTGTTCGCCACTGTTGTACCGCGGGAAGCAGATATGTTTTCATTTAGTGTATTACTGTTCAATTACCGTAAGTTAAATATTATGTAAAGGTGACATGTTGTTCAGTGTCTTTTATTTAATTAATTGATAGGACCTCGCTAAGCCCGCCGAAGGTAGATTGGCATTGAGGAGTTGCAGGCGTTGAAAAACTAAATTGTAAGTTGTCGATTGTAAGTTTGTTTAATGTAAATAGTTGTTAATTTTGAATACATTTTAGTTGAGTTTGTCCGTCAAAAGACCTACTTTTGAAAATCGTTTTTCATTCGCACCGGAGGGGTGCGAACAGGTAGCGTGAAGTATGGCTTCTCGATGCCAATGGTGCTAGTGTTCCAAAGGGCAATGGCTACTTGCTTGTACAACAATAGATCACTGCGATCCATGAAGGACTTCAATCTCGACGAATCACTCCGGGGATGCCGGCCGGAGGTTCACACAGCCCTAGTAGTGGATCAGAGGAAGATCTCGTCGACGATATGAACATGCTAGCAACGGAAAGACCCGGTAGACATGCGATGAGAACGTAAAGTGATTGGAATACCACTCACCTAAAAGCTTCAAAACAAATATAAAAAAAAAAATATTTTAAAAAGATATGCAATTTGAGTAAACATCTCAAAAAGGCGAAAATTTCTTAAAATATGCGATAAGTGAATTTTAACCAACGAGAATCTCGAAAATAACAACTTTGAGCAGTTTAAGCATTATTAGCTTTTTTGATGTAAATTTAATGTGTTTTAATATTAACACTATTTTAAAGATATTCGATAGCTATAGGTGGTTTTTTGAAAAATACATATTTTTTCAATTATTCATATCATTTTTGTTTATGATTCGCTCAGCACAGTGCACAGTGTCAGTAAGTATTACTTTATCTAAACTACAAAATAAATATAAAAAAAAAAAAATAAAATCTATGCAATTTGAGTACTTTTATTTTTTTTTTGATAATTTTCATTTATTTTTGTAAAAAAAATTATAATTTTTTACAGCGTATATTTTTTTTCTTGGAAGGCATAATACTTGTCCGCAACTTCTTCTAAGACACCATCTCAATCAAACAATAAAAAAAAAAAAAATCGTTCGTAAGACATATGTTTTTCTATTGATGCGTATCATTTTTGCATAAGCCCTTTTCAAGTGTTAGTCGTGTGCAAAACTAAGGAACCATAAATGTAAAATGGCATGTTGGGCAATAACAAACAACTGTGCAAAGTTTCATCATAATCGTAAAAGGTGGATCCGAAACGATTTGCGAATCTGTGTGGAACTGCTCATCGCTCTTAATTCTACGGAGATTTCTGAATATCTTTGAACTTCTCGAAAGACCCCCCATCATCTACAAAGTACCTTGAAATTTAACTAAGTTTCGAAAACTGTCCTGAAGTTATATGAAGATCCCTGAACAATAATGAGGTTCTCTAAAATTAAATAATTTTTAACTCTTACGAAGATCCTAAAACATAAATAGAGATCCCACTTCTACGCAGTTTTCTGAATTTTTCCTAAGCTCCCTGAGTTTCTACGAATTTTCCTGAAGCTCTATGAAGTTCCCAGAATTTCTGCTAAGTTTCGTTAATTGTACGATTTTCCCTGAACTTTTTAGAAGTCGTTGAAGTTTTACGAAGTTCCATGAGGATAAAGAAAACTCTCGAACTGTTCGTCAATTTGTAGAGCCTGAAGATGTCTCATTATGCTATCGATTACTTGTCGATAACATATAAATTCTCGACATTGTTTCTTCTAGTTAGTCTAGAACATTAAGAAAAGTAGACATTCATAAAATTCAATAAGAATAAAAAGTAACCTCGCAGCTGCTTGGCAAAATACCGGTGTATAAAACAAAACAACTAAAATTCTGGAGGGGGACTGGCTCCCTTGGCACGTTTTCGATTTTACGGTGTAGCTACACCGGTGTTACACCACCGTACACCGAAGAAAATCAGGGTGTACCTATCGGTTGCACCAAACAATTGATGATGAGCTGTCAATGACTCGCGCTTATTGCTGCCTACACTACACCGGTGTCGGACATAAGGAAGCTCTCCACTAGCAACTTTGGAAGATGCCGTTGACCGCAAGCTTTGATCGTCTTCGAACCATGCGGCAACAACAACAACAACAACAAACCGCTGCATTGCTAAACTTGTCAACACCGTTCGAAACCCGTCTGGATAACAACATGTGGTTCTACAAACAACTCCACGATGACTGACCTTTCTTCACGTGTTTCCCGTTCATCGTGAACCACGATTCCCCACCCTCGTGGTGTGATGCGCAAACTCCACGAACAGTGGGCCTTCCCCGCCTTTCCCCATAGTCGATTTGCCGTCAGGCAAGAAGGATCTTTCGTCCAGTGCGTTCATCCCCGGCAACGGAACGAATAAAACATTTCAACCCACCGCGACAACGCTCAGTTGTCGGTCAACTTGTACACGTGCATCATCATCCCCCGGGGGAACCAACGCAGCGCTGACGGAATCCGACGGTGACTTTAATCGAATCATCCGGGAGATTTTGCTAACCGAATCCGCGCATTCGGACCGTTGATGTTGTGAAGTTGTGTGCGTTTTGGTGAATCGGAATGGGGCACACGGTTGTTGAGGACGGGATGGGAGGCGATGCTTTGGGTGGCTGATTCAGAAGAAAATCGTCTGTTCGTTTAGTGGTAGACGCGCCCGGGGGGAGGCTGGGCAGTGTTTAGCCTGAATTCGATTTTTGGTGCGTGCTTTTTGTCGTCCTCCCGTATTCGTCTCGGTTAAGTCTGTATGCTTCACAGAGGGATGCGTGTGCTAGTCGAGAAGTAAATTATCATATCAGTATAATTAGTGAATTAGTGTGAGTTGGAAAGATTCGGCTTTCGGTGGAAGTTGAGCAACTTCATTATTGGCTCTGACGAAAGTGCAAATCGGGGAAAAATAAAGTGAAAACAAAACGCAAGGTGTGCTATAGTTTGGAAACGGACCTTGCCCGTTGCTATTGGCCCGTTGGAAAAAGGGTCTTTATTTATATTATCGCTAGTGAACGACGACGACGACAACAACAGCAGCATCAACACAGTAGCATAGAGTTGAGAAAAGGTGAACCCCTGGCAACGGAGCTATTCGAGTGAAATTTGGTGTAAATAAGGTACCTAAATTGTAACCATTAACCGCTTTCGACTTGGTTCGGTGAATTCCAAGCTGAAGTCGATTAGCATAGTAATCTTTTTCGGTTTGATTTCTTGAGCAATTGATGGGTTTTCGGAGAGAAGGATAAGGCTGCTGTCTAACGAGTAGCTTCCGGAAATAAGCATTTTTCCTTTAGCTGTTGTTTGGCTGTTGGTTTTGGATGCTGGTTTAAGCCAGAGACGGAGAGATAGAAAATCTTTCAAACAAGCAGCGCAGTTTCGGAATAATTTTTTTCTGTCAGTGGTAGTGGCAAGTGGAAACAGTTTCTCTTGGATTGAAGAAAGTGAATGAACACGTTGAAAGGAATTGGTTGCAATATTTTTGAACGAAATTTGCCTCCCAAAATCCACACTGCCAGTTAGAAAATCATCTCGTGAAGGTTTCATACGAAAATATTCAATCTACAGTCCTTTGTAAGTAGTGCCGTAATTTTTTTTTTTTGACTTAGTGCTACGTCTGTCATATCTGTATGGGGGTACACTTTGTGGAAATTGAAAATGTAATATGTATCGAAATTATGAAAGATTTTGAATGTTAATAACTCAGCTGCCCCTGGACCAATTACAATAATTTTACCACCAATCGATCAGATATATTTCTGCGCATCTGCCAAATTAAGACTTTTTTCTTCAAAATGTCACTGTTGATACGAATGTGCAACTGTTGCTATGATTTTTAAAATTATCACCGATTGCCTGCAAAAAGCGATTTCCCTAACACAGATTTCAAAGTTGAATTCCATCCGGTCTCATCAAACGGTGTTTATTCAATCACCGCGTGGTGAGTGGTGGTGTTCTCCAGTACACAACGAAAGGCTCCCGAAAGCAGCTAGCTATCAAGGCTGCGCTCAACCGCTGATCGGATTCAGTTTCAATCACCGTGTGTGGTGGTGTCCGGTCGTTGGCATCATCAGCAGCAGTGCTTTCGACTCGTTGCGTTGAACTTTGTTCTCCAGTGTACAACGAAAGGCTGCCTACAGGCAGCGAGCTGCAACCATAGAAGGTGGAAGAAGCCGCATCACTATTGATCGGAATCAGTAGCTCTTCGTGGGTTGCTGTGGGCCATCTATGCCAAGCGCGTCATACTAAAGAGTATAAACAGAGAGAACCCCGCTCAAATCCTATTCCTACCCAAAATACAATCTCCTGCTGCAGTTAACAAATAACATTTATTATATAAGACCACGTAGTCCTACGTCACCATTGCGTACAACCCCCAAGGCTGTCCCTTGTTAGAAACTTATGCAAAGTATGTAGAAAATCCACCCTTACATATGATGTTCATGTAATCCATTAATTTTGTATGTGAACTGACATTTAACTAACTTTTAAAAGTGTCAAGATTGGACTAACTGTCTGGATTGCGTTGTATTACGGTTAAATATTTCTAAAACAAATACATTATATTCTGATTAATATTTCTTCTGAAAATTGATGTACTGAAAGCAATACTTCAATCTCATCGCATCAGGGAACAACTATGCTTATTTATTGCAACAGTTTGTGTCCAACCCTGATACAGCTGGTTTGGTTGTTTTTGATTTCAGTCTCAGCGTGATTTTACAAGCAAAGATTGCACTTCTAATTTTAGGTACAAACTAGACGGTAGTGCTCTATTTTTGGCAACAAACGGTTCTGTTTCGAGCTGTGGAGTTGAATCTACACCGACCAACACCGACTTCGGTTCCTTTGATTTGAAAATAATCGACTCTGACTCCGACATCATAGATGCGCAAAATATATCAAAACGGCTAGGCCAACTGTGTAGCTTTTAAGGGGCAAGACTACCTGAAAAAAAACCTGGAAAATCTGGGAATATCAGGGAATTCCTTTTTGGACCTGGAAAATCCGGGATTGTCAGGGAATTTCATTAAAAGTCAGCGAAATATTTCTTTATAACAGAAACACATGAATAAGTATGGCTGACTTCGTTAGTTTCAAACAACTTAATTAATGGTTGTAGCTTGAGGATGGTTTTCAGTTTCAAATTTTAAATTAAGTTGCGAAGTTGTGGTTGTTCAATGCTTGATGCTGCAGTTTTGCAAGTGGAGCTAAATTTACTCAAATAAAAGGGTATTTCGATGATTTTGAGCCTATTATAAATTCAACTCCCACAGGGTGTTGTCACATTCCTGAGTTGAACCGAGATAAAAATTCAGTTAGGTTCCGTTCAGACATTGTTAGTTGTTGCAAAATTAAGCTGCTTATATGAAGGTGCATCTGTTAATAGATGTTATACCTAAAAGAGTCTGGCAAAATTTAACCTTCAAGTAGATTCTGCGTCTGCTCGATCCAGCTGTGTCCAACAAAAATCAATCCCCTGAGCACATTAGAGCGCTTTAGAGTAAATGCAAAAAATGTTAAGCGTTAAGCTGGGCTTAGACAAGGCAACTCATTGTTTAACTCAGTTGAATTCAATTGGCTTGAAAAGTTGAGCTTGGTTCAACTTTTTTCAATTCAAGTTAGTTAAATGGCATATTTGACAGGGCAAGTCAATTGATCAAGTCAGTTGAATTCAACTGACTTGAACGCGAAATGAACGTGTAAACCATGCCATTCAACTGACTTGATCAACTCACTTGAATTGAAAAAAAGTTGAAACAGGCTCAACTTTTCAAGCCAATTAAATTCAATTGACTTGATTAGTCTAAACCCAGCTTAAGAGAAGATAATGATTTTTTTTTCTGAATTCTTCTAGTTCTTGTTCCTTATTGTGTTCTTAACAGCTTGATTAGCTCAGAGAACTAACTAAATGAGAATTAGGATAATGTTCTTGCTTGGGGTTTTTTTTTTGTATTGCTTGGAGTAGCACTTTTATGATTGAATAGTGATTCAAAGATACGTAGACAAGAATTGCTTTGACAGCATAGAGTGGTTTTATTAAGTATTCTAGGTCTTCGTTATAAACCTGGTTAGCTCGTAAAATTAGCTTCACAATAAAGTTTTAGTATGGTAATGCTGCTGCTATTGCAATTTAGATGGAATTACCTTACAGAATTTTGGAGATGAAACCGTTGTTTTTACTATTTCCCACCGGAGGAATCCGCCTGCGAATAAGCTTTTGGTTAAGCATATTATCCGGAATGATTTTCTTACGGAGCTGGGTCTCAAAATGTGCTCAAAGCGAAACAAATATATTGGCATTAAAACAAGTGTTTCATGTGTGAAATGCAGAGTGCCCAGTGAACCGGGAAAACCGGGAAAATCCCATGAATTTAGTTGACAAATCTGAAAATATATACCTCGTCTTCTCTTCGAAAACAATAAGCTTTCAAGACCCTTGGACTGGTCTAGATTTTAAGGATAACTACAGTCACTTTGAAGAACTATTAAGAGAATTTTAGAATTTTTTACCAAAACAAATTTGAGCAGATTTTAGAATGAATTCTAGAGGTATTTCAGAATATTGTCTAGGGAGCTTTAGGAAAACCTCTAGGAGAGTTTTTACTGGATCTCCCAAGAGTGAAGAGAATTACAGGATTCTTGAAAAATACCAAGGAACGTGAATTTTGAGGGTACAATTCTAAAATTAATTACCGTATGCGTGATAATGTTTGCACCATCAAGCAATGTCAAAATTAAAAAAATTCTCGAAAATTTCGTTTTCGAGTTTTTTATTTATTCAAAGGGGGATGTTTCTCAGAGTCTTAAACTATGTTAATCATCGATCGAGTTTCCACTTGCTGCAATTACGACCTCCATACGCTTCCGGAATGCACGGCAGCTTCTAATAATGTAGTCTGGATCCATTTATCTCCAGGTACGGGTCAATGTTTGTCTGAGGCTTGCTGTACTCGGGTGGCGTTTAGAACAGGCCTTGGCCTTCATGACGCGCGATATTGAGTAATCCATGCGGATTAAGATCGGGCTGGGTGGCGGCCACATATCCTTCACCCAGAACGGAAGATGTTCCTGCAACCACTTCTGAGTGCGGTTCGAGGTGTGGCACGGAGCCCCATCTTGTTGAAATACAACATTTGGCTTCGGACCGTACTGTTCTTTGATCCACGGATGAACATACTTACTTAATATCCCAATGTAGACCTCCGTGTTGACCTTGTCGCCTTCTGGAATGAGCACCGGGTCCATTTTTTGCGCCATCGGAAGCCACCAATCCAAACACCATAACGCTAGCAGGACGTTAGCAGATAGACGTTTTTGTGCTCGCCGGCCACTTCTTTGACCGGAAGAGAACTAATATACCGGTCGGTTCTGGAATTTGATACGGGATCAACGGTAAACATGCTCTCGTCGGTGAACAGGATTACCGGATTTTTTCGCTTAAGGAAGTTCAAGATTTTCTTGCATCGTTCGTAGCTCCCGGATGCTGTTGGTAATCATGTGAGATTTTTTTTCAATGCCCTCGACTTCGCCTCGCAATCTTCCTTTACGATCTTCCGTGCCGTAAAGTCACTGATCCCGTGTTCCTTTGCCATTTTCCTTATTGAACGCACTGGATTCACCCGAATCTTCCTTTTGATAGCAGCGATAACCATCGGAACCCGAGCTGACCTCGGACGACCTGTGGCCACCTTCGCGGATAGTTGTCCTTTCTTTACTCGGTCTAAAACCCTTTTGACGGTCCACCGGGACACTCCCCCGGCGATTGAAATGTCTTTTTGCGACATTTGCGCGTGGGACAAATCACGAATACGCTGCCACTTCGTCATGGTGCAACTGTCAAACTAAGCAAATCATTTTCTTTTATACACAGCCTACTACGGTATGAGCTATAGGTTACGTGCATGCAAAGAAAACCAAGGCATTTGTATGCACAGGTGAAACGGGAACCTTAGTAGTACGATGGTGCAAACATTATCACGGTAGGTGAAGATCTGTAAGGATAGTCCGAGTATAATGCCAAGTGCATTGCGAAAGGAATTTCTAGAGAATGTTAATGAGACCTCCATGCAAATTTCGGACGAATTTAGAGGAGAACTCCAAGATAACTCTGAGCAAA